TAGTTCGATCTTTAATTTTCTATAAATGGTTGACTCTCTGTATAACCAATAGGGTTCGTAATTTTTAAAAATCAATAATTTTTCATGTATATTATAATCAATAGATCCATAATATCTTATTGATTTGAAATTATTATAATTTTTATTATTTTTTAGATGACGTTGAGAAGAGTATGTATATATTTAATTTAATTTACACCACAAAATACTTTATATAGACCTAAATATCTTCTATAAATGGTTGACTCTGTATAACCAATAGGGTTTGTAATTTTTAAAAATCAATAATTTTTCATGTATATTATAATCAATAGATCCATAATATCTTATTGATTTGAAATTATTATAATTTTTATTATTTTTTAGCCGATGTTGTGAAGAGTAAGTATATATTTAATTTAATTTACACCACAAAATACTTTATATAGACCTAAATATCTTCTTTAATTGGTTGACTCTGTATAACGAATAGGGTTCGTAATTTTTAAGAATCTATAATTTTACATGTTAAAATCTATTATATTATAATCAATAGATCCATAATATCACATTAATTTGAAATTTTTATTATTTTTATTATTTTTTAGATGACGTTGAGAAGAGTATGTATATATTTAATTTAATTTACACCACAACATAATTTATATAGACCTAAATATCTTCTATAAATGGTTGACTCTGTATAACCAATAGGGTTCGTAATTTTTAAAAATCAATAATTTTTCATGTTAAAATCTATTATATTATAATCAATAGATCCATAATATCATATTGATTTGTAATTATTATAATTTTAATTTTTTTTTAGCCGATGTTGTGAAGAGTATGTATATATTTAATTTAATTTACACCACAAAATACTTTAGATCGATCTTTAATTTTCTATAAATGGTTGACTCTCTGTATAACCAATAGGGTTCGTAATTTTTAAAAATCAAACAACTTTAATGTTAAAATGTATTATATTATAATCAATAGATCCATAATATCACATTAATTTGAAATTATTATTATTTTTATTATTTTTTAGATGATGTTGGGAATGGTATGTATATATTTTATTTTATTTACATCATAAAATAAAAATAAAACTAAAATTTAAAAATATAGAAACACAATTGGTTTTAATTTCATTGATTGTAATATTTTAATTGTATTGATACGTGATTAGTAATTACTAAAATAGTATAGGTACAGCAACAGCAACATAATTAAGATAAAAGTACTGTACATGTCATTCGAATGAAACTTGAGATTCAATCAATTTTTATCTGATGAATTATTTACTTCATTTATTGAATATTTAACATTTTCTTTTTACAGATGTTAGTCTATTTAAAAAATTGTTTATGGTCATACCGAGTATGTATAATTATTAAATATTGTGTACTAATGTGTTTTGCATTTCATATTTTTATTTATTTTTAAACATTAGCATTGTTTGTGGAATAAAATTACCCTGTATCAATGCATACAAACAAAATTCTGTTAGTGTCTGTGGAAGGGCATTCTAATGAACACACTACATATATAATAATAAAATATTTTGCAGAACCAACTAAGTTTTAATAAGACTAAACATTAATCAAAGTACCTACTTAATATTTTGATTTGTATAAAGAATATAACATACAATCTCATCAACGTTTATATTCTACAATTTCGAATTATAAGTGGGAAAAGCATTATGAAAAGTGGGTAAAGAAGAAATCCATCGACCAAAAATTGGATACTAAAGCTTACACATCACATCACAACTAATGACAATGGCATGAAGGAAATAGACTTCGCGACCTCAACAAATCTTGTAATATGTTCCAAATTAATTGTGAAATTTAGTATTCAATTCTCTCAAACCTTAAATATTAAAATAAATATTTTTATTTATATTTAACCATAAAACAATTTGTAAATATGTTTGATTATAGTCTTGATGAATTTGAATTTCTTCAAAATTTGACCTTTAAAGGCTCAAAAAAAAAAAATATAATATAATTTATTTCTGATATTATGTTTTTCTTACAAAAATGTTAGTAACACTTTTCCAAAAAAATGGCATCAATCTGATTTCTAAACAGTATCTAAGAACAAAAATATTATAAAAATGGTAGTGAATATTTTATTATATTATTTAAAAAAAAAATGTTGATATGAATATTCAACGAATATTATACATACCTCCGTTTAGAAAAACTTGACAGTGTTGCTTAAATATTAAACTTTTTTCATAACCTACCCTAGAACCAACTTTGCCCGATAAACTACTAGAATATAATCTCAAAGTTTTACATTGCAATTTTAGTGCTGCTAAAGCTCCAAATCAAATGTTCTAATTATGTTTCTAATTTCTCTTTAGGTGCATAGGTCAAAACCCGAAATACGTTGTCATTTAAATTAATTCAAACGATGTGTTGAATTTTGGGTACCTAGCTATATTATGGATATACATATGCAGAGACTAGACTAGACTTTTAGGACTATTAATCCTCTATATTAAATACTTAAAACGTGTCAACAATAAAAAAAAGCGTGTTTAGTTTGTTGTTGAAATATAGAAACATACATTTTTTTTTATTTAAATTTTATTGAAACATGATTAGTGATTATTAAAAAAGTATAGGCACGTCAACAGCAATATAATAACTAATAAGGATATAAGTGCTGTACCTTTCATTTGAATCAAAGTTGAGATTCAATCAATTTTTTTACAGAGAATTATTTATTTCATTTATTGAATATTTGACATTTTTTTTTTTTTACAGATGTATTAAATTCAGTGAAAAAATATTTTTTTGGCATATCACGTATGTATATTTAGTATTATGTGATTTGCATTTCATTTTTTTAAACATTAGCCTAATTTGTGGGTTAAAAATAACTCTTTATAAACGAATACAAACCAAGTTCTGTACGTGTCTGTGGAAGTGCATTCTCATGAACACACTCAACATTTCTAATACCTACTAATATATTTCGCAGAATCAGAAATGATGAAATCGGTTAAACCCTTTTGTGATAATTTGATTACAACAACAAGATTCAAAACAACATTTATCACAATCTTAAATATTGAAGAGTATCTTAAACAAAAAGAAAATGATGAAGAAATGTTGAAGAATAATAAATTTTTTGTTTAATTATTTTAAGATAAACATAAATCGAACTGTGTAGGTAGTATAATATTACATCACATTATATTGTATTAACACTATTCTGATTATAATATTATAACGAAATTTTCGGCAAAACATAATTCAACATAATATATTATAAATTAATAATAGTTGTATTTACCTATTATTAAATAAATAATGTTTTATATATATATATTTTTTTTACTTTAAGAGCCGTTTTGACCCCGCCGCCTACTTCCTTCAATGAACTTTCCATCAAGCACATCCCTGCTCCCAGTCTACTAGAATTTATTCTAATAATTCCTTGACACTGTCTTTCCATCTTTTCTGCAGTTTTTCTATTGGTCCCTTTCCCATCACTATATTATATGTCATTGATCGATTGATCCTTTCAACATACTTCCATTAAACCGCTGTAAAAGACCTCCCCACATTATAACCTTGTTCCCCTGATGCATTATACCACATCTATCTTTTGTAAAGCAGGTAGAATTGGGCCTTATCTCCTTTAATATAATATATTTATAAATTAAAATATATAATCAATAATATAAGCTGGTCTGTCTCAGCACTGTATCGTTTTTTTGTACTCAATGATTTATTTAAAATTATCAAACACATACGCATAAATGCATAATTCATAACAGAGTACAATAACCCGTTTGGTGCCTGCAACTCCACGTAACCGCTGACTTTTTCCTACTGACTTTGGACTTGTGTAAATATTTATGTAAATTAGATTCAAGTTTAGACTTTTATATTTATTTGGTTGCACCTGCCAAATATATGTAAGTAGATCCGATTTAAGAAATGTTAAGTTTTTTGAATCCTTAAACAAGATTACTTTTCATTGGTCAGAGCACTTTTTCAATTTTAGACAATTTTTGACTTTATTAACCAATTTAAATTTTATAAATTTATTATTTTTTTAATGTATTAAACACTATTAAAACTATTAAATAATAGATGCTCAAACCTATGCAAATTAATCTTCTTTATCAAATTAAACATTTTTAAATTTTTTTAATCAAACCACTGGAACTACCTTAATTTCTCTCAGTAAAGTAATTTCCAGTCGAAAGCAACGTGTTGCGTGGTTCACGATCGTGCGGCATAATAATAAGTGTAATGTTTAAATGCTGCATATTATTAAGTTTTTTGAGCGGGTTGGCGATCCATATAGAATATTTAGATGCTTATAAATCCAAAATTTTTTTTCGTAATTAGGTACAATCGAACTTTATTAAGTATGTTTAATTTATAACTGTTTTTAGTAGTTTTTATAGTTATGTAAACATAACTATTATCATACTACTGTCACTAGCTCCATTACTATTTCCTCTTAAAACACCAGCTCCAGTGTTTCGATTTTTGCCTCGATCCAGCATCTTCGGTCTGTTTCCCGGGTATTTCCGTCGGTCATTCTTACGGTTGTTTTACATTTATCTACTTGTTTTCCATATTTCTCGGCTACCATGGTCGTATGTACGTTTTTTTCCGCTTGTGAGTCCAGCAACACGATGACCATTCCGTGTGAGTTTTAATTAAGACTGCGAACAGTGAGTTTTCTGTTATTTCGCGGTTTTTGTTTTTGTTGTTTGCGGTGTGGGAGTTTTCCCCGCTACCGTTTTCCTTGTTGTCTTGTTGTAGTGTTGGGTTTTTTATTTATTTGTCGGTTTGTTTTTCTTGACCATTTTTCCGTTTTCCGACGTCTTGATATTCCAGAATTCTCTTTGTTTGTTTTGCGTTGGTGTGCTTCCCTCTGTTTTTTCAGCATCTGGTTTTTCCCAGTGGGGTTTCCCTCTCTTCTGGGTTTGATCTCCCACAGTGTTTGTTGCTTCGTTGAGGTTCATGAACGTTTTAGGTTTATTCACCCTTATTATGTTCTGATATTCTGATCTCATTAGTTCTATGATGGTCTCCACTACATTTTTCTCGTCCAGGCTGGTATTCAACCTTCGGAATAGTTGAATATTTTGTAACACAAAGTCCCCCGTTGATTGCCCATAGGATTTTTTCCATCCCATCAGTTCTGTGTGCAGTTTCGCTCTGACTTGAGGTTCGTTGAACTTGTTCGTGGATTCTTTGTGAAATTCTTCCCAAGTGGAGTCGATTGCTCTTATTTTCCCCCACCATGTTCCGGCTTCTCCTTTTGGTTGTTTCGCCAGTACTTCCAATCATCGTTGTCGCGGGATTTTTTCCTCTATCAGCACGTCTCTCGTTGTGTTTAGGGAGAGTGTGGGGTAATCCTCTTTTTTCCCTACGTACTTTGGCAGCGCGTCTTTTGCTGACTGTGGATTTTCGCGTGGTAGTAGGTTCGACTTCTCCGGTCAGTTACGTATCAATGTTTGATAGGTATTATCATTTTCAGTAGAGTATGCCCTGTACGTTGTGGTATGTGGGCCGTTGTTTCTTATGTTGTCCTTATTGGGGAAATCCACTCGGTGGTTCTGGTTTTCTCAGTGTCCGGTTATGTGTGGATTTTGTCCTCCGGTATTGGTGTTGGAACACGACGTTGATGTGATGCTTTTGGTGATCATTGTACTTGTCCCCTGGGTCGGGAACAGTGTTGAGTGCACGTAGGGTATTAAACTGTTGTAAAACTCGAGAAAACCCTGTGACTCGTAAGTCGTAATATGTGTCATATCCGTTATTTTTTTCCTGGTTATATCATACTGAGTGGTTATGCTCTTTCCCCCTCGATTTTGTTTTTGCTTTGGGGATTTCTTTGTTTTTCGTTATTTTCACTTTCCTGGAAACTTTCTGTGTTTTTGGTTTTCAGGTTAGGTTAGGTTTTTAATTCTCTCTGTCATTTATTCCACTGATCCTCGCTTGTGCTTGACGTCTCTTTTTTTTTAGTTGGTCTAGGGTCCGCTCTAAGCTAGTGCTGGGTTTTGGGTTTTCAAAGTTTTGATTTTGGGTTTTTCCCATGTCTTGGTTTTTTTGTTGTCCTTTATTTGTTGGTTCTCTTTTGTGTTGATTCCGGGTGCGTGTGTTGTCTCGGTCCAGGTTGTTGGTGGTTGGGAGAAGACCTATCAAGCTTTGGGAAAAACGTAGGTTTGTGGGTTTTTCCCCTCTGTTGTCTGAATGTGTTGTTCAAGTATTAGGTAAAGTTCTGACTTTGTGCCCATTGTTCCTAACTACTTTTTTTAGTTTCCCCTTGAGTTCCCCGATTGTTAGTTCGTTGATAGTTTTCTGACCAGGTTGCAGCGTGTAATAACACTTGGAGCCCTTTCCTACTTTTATTGATTCCGATTTGATATCCTAGTTTTGTAGGGAGGTTTTATTCCCCCCCCTTTTTTTTTGTTGAATGGGAGGTTTTATAAGATAATTTAATTTTTCTTAACTGTTTCGGGTCTCGTGATTTTGTTTCCTTTTTTCGACTGCTCGAGTGACGTGATGCTATGTAGATACGAGTAGGACGTAGGTGACCGTAATACGAACCCGCAGGTTGTATATGCTATTAAACAAACAATGGACGAATTATAATATGTGTAAGACGATTTATTCATGAAGGTTACACAAGATATATAATAATTGATAATGGAGGCGAGTTCCGTGTTCTCGGACTCAAAGAAAGAGGAGCCCGTTGCACCGTAGGCCCGGAGTCCAGCCGAAACAGTCGTCGCCAGTTGCCACCCATGGCATGAAGTGCCCTCCTCCTCACGGGTTCTCACATACCAGTGACCTGTCGAGCAGAGCGCTCGTCGCCTGTGATACCCGTATGCTGGGTAACGACCGCGATATAATGTAATACCAAGATATTTACAGACTTCCACTGTTTCCAAAATATTGCATTTATTTCACAATTTATGTTGCCTATTTATTTAAAATTTTCTGGTCCCGTAAATTATAAATTCCTTTGATAAAGTATCTAAGTTTATAATATATATATGTTTTTTGATATAAATTATATTTTATTCATATTCATTAAAATTACTCATCTGTCTTAACACAATATTTAAATGTGTGCAAATTGAAATTGCAATATCATAATATAACATAGATGTAAATAATAATGTTAATTAGACGGCACGCTGAGTATGCAAAATAATAGCATTACGGTAGAACGATACAAAATACAACTTAATTTAGCTTATTATAGCTTACTTTCACTGCAGCTAAATTAACTTTAAATCAACGGGGTATGTATATAAGGAACAGGTATCATTAGTATATTCGAGTTTAGGTATCATGTTATTATTTCCAGTTATCTGAGTATATTTTATAAGATGAATATAAAAAGAAGTTCAACATTGAATGTTACTCCTATCCCCCAAAAGTATAAATTTGGAAGACTAAAACGTGTTGTTTTTCATAAAGGTATACACATTTAAGATATTTACTAATATAATTAAACTAATAATACTCTAAACAGAGATGGCGAATTAAATATTATAGTAGGGCCCGGAAGTTCATGCTTTTGTATTTTTTTTTTTTTGAACCATTAGATTTATTGCTAAACGAGCTATAGAAATACATTAAAAGACACTACGAAAAACATATCAAAAATTTATAGTGCATATTTATGCATATTTCTTAATTTTGCAATTTTTTAGAGCATATTTTATAATTTATGAAGATACATATGAAAATGAAGATCAAGATACAGTATGAAAATTCTTAAATAAAAAAATAAATACATTTATATTGAGAGAACTTACTAGATATTCTATTCAGTCTTCGTGCGGCGTTCATCGTAACAGGTAGTGTGTACACCTATCCCGCTCGCTTATCTTTACCGTCGCGCGTGTTTATAAATCAAAGTTCAGTGTATGGTGCAACATGGCAAAAACCAATACTTCCCAACATTCGGGCCACAAACGTACTAGTAGTGCGACCCTGTCTCCGCGGCTAACCAACAAAAATAGATACACACCAATCGCAAATTATGAAGATCAAAATGTTGATAACCTCGAAGAAGAGGACATGGATCTCGAAGAGGTAAAACAAAAAATTCCTCCACTGTATATATATGAAATCGATGATTACATTATGTTCCTTGATAAGATCACACCTATGATAGTAGACAATTTTAACATAAATAATAAAAATGTATTCTTGAAATTAAATCTAACAACTGTCGACGACTATGGTACAATCACCAAATACATATCTGAAATTAAAATAAAATACCACACTTATCAACTTTCCGAAGAACGAAATCTATCAGTTATAATCAGAAACATGCCAACTTCCATCCCTGAAGAAACAATATTCAAGGCCCTTGTTGAGCTAAAATTCAATGTCACATCGGTCACTCGTCTCCAAAACCGTTACAAATCCCCTATCCCAATCGTAGCTGTCTTACTAGACAAATCGGAAAAAAATATTTTTTCACTTGATCGCCTACTACACTGCGTTATCGCAGTTGAGAGCCGCAAAAGCGATTCGTCCATACCACAATGTAAAAACTGCCAACGCTTCCAACATACAAAAAATTTTTGTAATCTTCCCCCTAGATGCGTCAAATGCCTAGAAAACCACCATTATTCTGAATGCACCAAAGACATAAACACCCCACCTACATGCGTCAATTGCAATGAATGTCATCCTGCCAATTATCGAGGTTGTAAAATTTATAAGCAAATTAAAATTAAAAATAGCTCCAAACGTTTCAGGAACGCTCCTAAGCATATAATGCAATCGAGCAATTTAAACGATAATAATAATACTAAAACCCCAGCCTATACTGTCGATCACATAAATACCCAAAATCAAGACCCAATCCAAATAACTCAAAACTTAAGCAACACTCCAACCTACGCCGAAAAAACAAAAAAAAAAACTAATCAACATCAAAAAGAAGAAATCAACAACTCAAATATCACTAACGAGCTTATAAAGTCATTAATGCCACTAATCAGCTCACTCATCTCACAGATTATTAAAAAAGTTATCGAAAATCTACCAGTTCTATTAAATAATATCAATGTCGTTTAATAATTTAAATAATATTAAGCTAGTTATCATTAATTGGAATGCCAATGGAATTAAGCAAAATCGTAACACATTTGCAGCGTTCTTATCAGCACATAATGTCGATATCGCGTGCGTAAGCGAAACACATCTAATCGCTAATGACAAAATTAAATTTAATGGGTACACTACTTATCGCAAAGATAGGCTAGCGGTACGACCATCAGGCGGTGTCGCTATAATAATTAAAACAAAAATTAAACATCAACAATCATATCTACCTACATTGAAAACTCTTGAAGCAGTAGCAATATCTATTTCAATAAATCACTCAATCACAACAATAATTAGTGTTTACCAGTCACCTAGCTTTCAAATGTACACAAATGACTTTGACAAAATATTAAATAGCTATCAAAGAATTTTGCTAGTTGGTGATCTAAACTGCAAACACACGACTTGGAACTGCAAAGTTACAAATGCAAACGGACGTAAATTATTCAATTATCTCTCAAACAGTTCCACGATAATGAGTGCTCCAGATACACCTACCTACTTCCCATATGATCAAAATAGAAATTCTGATATATTAGACGTAATTTTACAAAAATCGATTCGTTTTTCCATTCACCAAGAACCACTACATGAACTCGATTCAGACCATTTGCCTGTAAAAATTACAATAGATGCATCTCTATCATTTTCAACACCCACCCGTAAACTTATCACCGGCAAACCAGATTGGGAAAAATTCAAACAACATATCACTCAAAATCTAATTATTCCCAAAAATATTTTGAACATTCCCAACGCAGATAATGCGGTAAAACATTTACGCGAAATCATTTGCCAAGCGGCCGACATATGCTCAGCAAAACGAAACACGATAACAAATTACAGTCCTAATCAACTTCCCCATACAATATTAAAATTAATCAAATCAAAACATCAAACGAGGAGACTCTGGCAAATACATAGACTACCACAAGATCGAAAAAAATTAAATTATCTAACAAAAAAGGTTAAAAACTCACTCGAAGAACACAGAATTAACTGCTATCAAAAATATTTATCTACAATCCACCCTGCTGACTCTAATTTATGGATTGCAACCAAAAGATTAATCAAACCGAATACCAATGAAATCCCCCCCTTAAAAGCGGGAGATGCTTATCTAAATACAGAAGCTGATAAATGCGAATTGCTTGCTCATACTCTCGAAAATGCATTCACTTTAAACAGCTCACAAGATAACTCTACAA